CCCCCTTTTAACATCTTTAAAAAAAACTACGGTGCCCTTTATACTCAAGTGAATCTTAATATAGTAGTGTCACTGGCTAATCTGAGATTGCCCTAAGCATAATTTCGGAGGTTGGATACTTTTCTTAATATTCCACTCACTTGGTACGCTATTTTCAAAAATTATGTGAACATCATAAGCAACCCGTTGACGGGTAAAAATCTTGTGTCGCCATATTGGCCTAGTCTTATTTCAGTGGTATTTATAGAGGAAAATTTACAAAGATAAATTACACGTCATGGAAAATAGTAGCGAATAGATCTACAAGTTGCTTGCTATCACTTCCTCTGTTTTAGGTATAAAGAACGTGCGTTTTTTTACATGACGTGTGTCCATTTAAAGCTATGATTTCAAAAGATAACAACTTTGTCCGAAGAAAAAATAATGATCCTCAACCAAAAATTGTATAGTATGCAACTGACGGTACCTTACTTAACCCTGGACCCCGACGTTCTATCCGTAAGGCCAAAACACTGTAATCACCCTCCTTGAATGACATGAAACTGGGAACTGTCCTGTAGCTTTTCAGTCAAATCTTAATGCCCAGGAAACAAACATCAGCGCGTGCATGGAGAGCTTATAATTATGACAGCGTACGTGTACAAATGCGTATGCTCATGATAGGGGCTGGGACGGTGATGTATAAAAGTAAAGTGAACCAGTGAGTACTTTTGTGCTTGTTTTCTTCCATTCTTATCCAGAATACTTTCAAGGGTATGTTTTTCGTTGAGTGCAGTTAAGTTTAAGTTCGTTCCCATTCATAGTTTCTGTAAATTGATCTGTGCGATCGAACTTTCCCTTTAATTTTTTTCTTCTTCTTTAAAAAAAAAATACTTTCATGTATTTGACTGGTGTGCCTAAAGTTGTCACTGCTGTCAGTAACAGGGTAGGCCTAAAAGCAATCATTTTTGTCTAAGGGTGGGTAGAGACAATTTTTGGCAGTCAAAGCAAGACAGGGCAAAAACTTAACAGAAAAACTAGAATATTCTTATTCATTCTGTTTTATTGTGCTTTGTTGTTTTCTTCAGCTTTGCGTTGCTTTTTGTTGCTTTTCTTTTCTTTTTTTAATCTGTAAAGAGGAGGTGGTGAAATTTGATGAGGGGGGGGAGGGGGGGGAGGGTAAAAAGAAGTTGTGAAATCCAGAAAGGGAGACAAATATCACGATTAACTTCTCAAAATATTTCCAATTAAACGGGCGGTTTCTTTGCTCTTTGTAAAAAACAAACCCCCACCCTCACCTTCGAACTAAATTTCAACACCTTTTCCTTTGTAACAATGCTATCACTATTCTGTTCTGCTACATTTCTGCACACAGTCCTGCCATTCTTCCAGTCCTCCGTTTGGCATCATTTCACGAGTATTTTACAGATCATATCCTTTGTTTCCCAATGTGTGCACGATGATTTTGTAATAAAAACCATTTTGAGAACAATAAATAATTCAGCGTTTGATAGCTTTCGACAAGCGAGGAGATAGAGTAGGTTTGTTATGGACGTCGTGTGATGTAATATTGATCACACGGGTACAATGGCCAGCTTCATTTGTGTGCGCGTTTCTGTGGGCGTACAATATGGAAAATTGTGAATAAAAATGACGACATTTGGGAAGGCTTCAGTTGTTTGAAAGGTTTTCATTTTTCATGGGGAACTAGTTTTATCAATTTGATGTCGGTTTTGGTTGTCATGAAAATAATGGCATTAGACAATCTCCACAGCAAAAGTTATTTGACAAGTGAGATATCTATGAAAATTGGGGGAGGTGGGAACAATTACATAGGCCTTACTTCAGCACGAGCTTAGAAAGAGGGCTGAAGACTGGACGGGGAGGAAACTTTAGTGAGACGTAGAAGTCTGTGGGGAAAGAAAGAAATATCCCTTTACATTATACATTAAGGGTTGCTTTGTGATCCTGCTGAGCTGACCTTTGATCTAACTTTGTCTACTTTCCTTTCTTGCCAAAGCTCTCTATCGACGGCAAGCTGACAAAATGTACCAAGGGCAGAAAGCAAAAATGTTCTAGGAGAGAAAAAAAATGTTTAATTCTTATAACGACTGTACCCATATTTTGCATTTCTTCTTGCTTTTTAAAAACATTGAGTGCCCACATTTTGCATTTTTTCTTGCTTTTTTAAAACATTGAGTGCCCACATTTTGCATTTTTTCTTGCTTTTTTAAAACATTCTGTACCCACATTTTGCATTTTTTCTTGCTTTTTGAAAACATTCTGTACCCACATTTTGCATTTTTTCTTGATTTTTGAAAACATTCTGTACCCACATTTTAAATTTCTTCTTGATTTTTAAAAACATTTAGCTTTTGAATTTCAACAAACTATTTCTTGAGCCCATGCAGATTGGCCGACGCCAGGCAGTTGGGTCTCTCCCAAGGCATCCAAAAATTAATTTCGGTATCCTCGGTCTCTCCTCATGAAGCAATTTACGTGAAATACTGAGTGCCTGTTTACAGCAACATGTTGCTGGCATTATTATATTTTACTGCAGAGAATAGAATCACGTAAGATTCTTTTGTTTTAAAAATGTTTAACAATGATGATGATGATGATGATGATGATGATGATGATGATGATGATGATGATGAT